ATAAATAGAGTATGTAATTGTGAATCACAGCTGTGCAGAAATTAAATATAAAGATAAAATAAGAACAATATACTTATATAAGAAAGCAAAACAAAAAGATTATAAAGAATATGCTAAAGAACTTCAAGTACAATTAGAGTAGAAAAAAGTGCTAAAGCAATTAGAAAAAGAGAAAATGAGCAGTATGTACTGTACAGAAATATTAAACCATATGTGAAATGCAATAGAAGAAGCCATAACAAAAGCAGCAAATAAACAAATACCAAAAAAGAAGATATTTAATATAAAAGCAAACAGAAAACATCATTAAAGAAAGTCATAGCAGTGCAGACACACAATTAAACTACAACAAATAAAAAAAAAGTAAAAACAAAAAGAAACCAAGAGACAGAGAAAGAAGAAAAAGAAAAGATAAACAATAGACTTAAAAACATTAGTAAAGAAATAGAAGTAGTATTACCAAAGTTACACAAACAATGATTAGAAACTTGGTTAAATGATATAAAAAGTTGACAAAGGATTTTGAAAAACAGAAGAAAAGAAAAGTAAAAATAAGTACAAAGAAAACAAATAGAAGAAAATATAAACAAAAAATGTAAAATGATAAAAACTAATCAAGAATGAATAATTGTTAGCCTGTTGAACAAACTATATAAAAAAATAATTCTTAACAGATTCATAATCCAAAATGAAGAGAAAGTCAATCTAACAATAGAACCCAAGGCTGTTCTAAATAATCTGACAAAGCATTTTGAAAATCAATTCAGAAAACAAAGAACCAAGCTAGAAGAAATGTCTAAGAAATGAAAAGAAGTATACAACCCAAAAAATTGAATTCAAGAATCCTGATATAAAAAGTTAAAGGAAAAAATAGAAGAAGAGTAGAAAGATACTTTAAGGAAACTCAAAGCCAATACAGCTTCAGAAATCTTAGACATAAGCTATACTTTAATAAAATAAGCAGAAAAGAAATTACAGAAGATTTTTAGAGCTTTTGCAAATTTGGTTCTAAAAACAAAAAAAATTCTGAAGAGTAGAAAATAGTACAAGTTTATGCAATCCTAAAAGATATAGATTGAAGATATAATCTAAACAATATTAGACCAATGGCACTAATTGAGACCTTTAAAAAGCTAGTTACAAAAATGGTAACAAGAAGGTTGGCCAAGATATTTACAAAGAAAAAAAATACTTAAAGAGCCAAACTATGCAGGTTTGCCTGACAACTTAACAGAGCAACCAATATATATACTAAATATAATAATAGAAAAAGCATAAGAGAAAAATAAAGAAACATAGATACTTTTGCAAGATATAAAGAAAGCATTTGACTTAGTTCTATTAGAAAGTCTGAAGTGGGCTTTTAAAAGAGTCAAAATACCACAAAAAACAATAAAATACATTATCAACCTTTTTTGTAAATAACAACTTAAAGTGATCACAGCTTATAGTCTAACAGAAAAAATAACAGCAGAAGATGATATAGACCAAGAAGAGGTAATTTTTTTACTAATCTGGCAGCTTTTTTATAATCTGTTGTTGGAAAGAATTTAAGAAGACAAATCATTGGGTTATATAGTAGAACAAAAGACATTAAGCAATACAGATATTAATTGTATTACAAGATATAGACAAGCAGCAATTGCTTATGCAGATGATACTACATGAATTGCAAAAAGTAAAGACCAACTGCTAAAAATTCTTGGAATTGCAAAGAAGTTTTTTAAAGCAAATAATATTGAGATAAATGGAGCTAAGTCAAAGCTTATAGTAATGAATTTTAAACTAAAAAAGAAGATAGAGAAATTATATTTGTTCAAAGTAGAATAACAGAAGAACCAAAAAACAAAATTGTAAGATTATTAGAAATTTGGCTAAATAGCAAAATAAGAGAGTTGCTAATTTGCAAAAAAGCAAAAGAAATAATTAGTCAAACAGTCAAAGATCTTAGATATAAAAAAATAACAATAAGCCAAATTGCATATATAAACAATATGATAATAATTCCAAAATTAGGATATCTTTTGCAGTTAACAAAGATATTAAAAATGATGATTGACAGAATCTACTAACTGATAATATGTTTGGCTAAACATAAGTACAACATAATAAAAACTACAAACAACTATACAATCAAGCACAAAAATTTGGAAAACTATAAATCATTAAGTCAAGAAATAGCAACAAAGCAAATAAGTAGTTTATTTACAAGACTTAATAAAAAGATACTCTAGATGATTTAACAAAGCTTAGAATAGCACAAAAGTGTTAGAAAGTAGCCTTAACAAAAGATATTTGGGAGTTTAAAAAAAGGCCAGAAGAAACAAAGTATTGGAATCACAACTTAGCTTGTTAGACAATAGTCAAGACAAAAGAGATGGAAATAAATATTAAAGCAAAAAACTACTTATGGAAAGTATACAGTTATGTAATAAGAATAAAAAACTTAGTTAAAACTAAATCTTGGACAGCAAGTAGTAATACAATAAATGAATAGGGTTTGCTATACTTAAACCAACTTATAAACATAAAAGAAAAAAGCCTAATCATATAAAGACAGCTTAAAAGTCTTTAAGAACTGTCATATAAAGGAAAAAAAGCCAAATAGTTCAACAAAATAGAAGAAAAGATATTAATAACACAGACAAGCAGGGAAATATATGACCAATACAAGATTAGTAACTACAATACTTAGGCATTAATGATTAAATAGACAAAGATATTTGAAGACAGAAAAAAAGAAAGAATAGATTATACATAATCCAAAACATAATAAACAACTCAGCAAAATATCAAGAAAAAAAAAAAAAGATTTTAGCTAAACATTGGGTTTTGCAAAAAGTAGAAAAGAAGACATATACTAAAATAGACAAATGCAAAAAATGTAAAAATGGAACAGAACAAATAATAAACAATTGCAAAAGATAAATAAGATGAAACAATAATATAAAAGCAATTTCAGAAATACTAGTAGAAAAAGGCAGTAAGCAATATTAAAACAAATACTAGAAAGCAGAACAATAAAAAAACTAGAAAAAAGAAGAAAGAAGGCTAATTAGGCTAAAACAAATAGAAAATTAGAAATAAAATTAATCAAAAACCAAAAATTAGATAGTAAAATTACAGCTTACTTAATATAAGTCCTAATGAGAAACAAGATGAAAAACAAAAACAAGTATACCTTTTATACAGATAATGCATTATATAAAGAGAAAAGAAAAAATAGCATAAAAAAGATGAATATTGGTTGAGCACAGATTAGTAATAAAGAAAAATGGCTAGAAGAAGAAACAGTATTAGAACTCAAAGATTGGCTTTCAGTAACAACAGCAAAATTAACAGCAATATGATTAGCAATTTTAACTATATCAGAGGCAAAAAATATAGAAGTACATACAGATAGCCTTACAGTGCTAAGAAACATTAATAGAGCAATTCAAGGGTTATAAGACAACAAAGTTCTAAAAAAGAAAAATACAATGTGAATAATGAATATTGTATATTTAGTCAAAAGTAAGAGTAATAGAATAGAACTAGTTAAAGTTAAAAGTTATAGTAATAATAAGTAGAATAACAGAGCAGATGTATTTGCAAAGAAAGAAGCAACATGTAGAATAACAATATTTATAGAAAAGATCAAGTGTAACAAAATAGAGTATCATCTAGAATAGAAAAACAGAAAAGTTGATATATTGACAAGACTTCTCTGCAAAATAGTTATGAATGCTAGAATTGAAGCTAGTTAAAGAAAAACAAATCTGATTCAAGCACTAGAACCAGAAACAGAAAACACACAATACAATTGGTCAAGTTTTTGGAAAGAAATAAATAGAACAAAAGGCATATACTGCATGACAAGAAAACTTAGCACAAAAAGAGCAACAGTAATCAAATGCATAATGGATGCTTTATTAATACTAGAAGAATTAAATAGAAAAAGATCAGAAATATATACAACAACAGATTACCAAGTATGTTAAACAGATGAAAAGAAAACTCAGACATATTTGGCAAGCTGCAGTGAACAAAAAAGCCTATAAAAAAGAATTCAAAAAGTAGCAACAGCTACAGCTTGAAATAGTCTTAAAAAGAATAAAAAAATTAGAATTCTATACTAAGTGCTATATAAGGCACATTTAAAAAAACAAAAGTAGAAAAAATTATTAACAGAAGAGCATTGATAAAAGAGCTAACTATGAACAAAGTGGAAAAAAGGATCAGTCAGATTCTAGATAAACAGGCAACTCAAAGATGTATAAAGATAGTAACAAGAACAGTATGGAATACATTCTATGACCAAGTATAAAGAGTTCGATATAAAAAAATGCAAGAATAGAAAAAATAATGAACATAACAAGCAAAATAAAAAAAGGCACTTGAATTAGAAGAACAAAAAAAAGAACAAAGAAAGATAAGTTGACAAAGGAAGAAAAAAAGATAGAAAAAATAAATCAAATAAAGAAAAAAGCTTAAAAGGCAATTAATATGCTTGTTATAGAAGAGAGAAGACCCTTCTGGTATAGCTTTAAGTAGTTAGACGAGCAGTCTATTTCTAACTAAGTTAGTGTAGCAGATTGCACTTAGATACCAATAGGATGACCGAGTGATGCTAAACTTAAGTATTAGAAAATTTTATATAATTATAAATATATATAGTTTCAAGAATCTTAATAAAGTACTAGCATAACTGCTTAAGATTAAAAAAAAAAAATAACAAAAATAACTTATCTAATATACAATGAATAAGAATAGCAGGAATACCACAACCATTTTTTGACTAAGGTAAAGATACAGTATATCAGATTTTTTTGCAAAACTTAAATTATATTTGCAAAACTAAGAAATAAATCTAGCAGATAATGCAGAAGGTCTACTAATGAAAAGAGAAGTAGCTATAGGATATTTAAAAAAATATATGAAAAGAAAAGCTTTAGAATAGTTTGATGAAGAGATTACTACAAAACAGAATTGAGAATTAGCAAACTTATTTGATAATACAGGGCAGATTAACTTAGTAGTTATAAATAAAAGAACAGTAGTTCAAATAGGAAATCAAGCATTGAATAAGGCATTCAACCAACCTGATAATATAATAGTCAAATTAAGAGCTGTAGAAGGTCCTTGAGATGAAAATTGATATATAGCAGATAGTCATTCTACTAACATTGCTATTAATGCACTAAATGCTAATAATAGTACTATAGTAGTTATAGCTGGCATTCATTTCAGTTAAGCTATATGGTGCCTAAAAACACACTTTCCTATAGTAAAAGAAAAGCTTTGGGATTTGCAATATAGAACAATTAGAAAAAGAAATATGACTATAGATGAATTATATAGAAAATTATTACAAATAGGTAGACAAGCTAACTATAGGCCCAAAGAATTATGTAATAAGTTCTTAAATACTCTTTCTATTTTATGGCTTAAAAAAGCTAAGAATATCAGTGAATATTTGCTATTAGATAAATTAGCTAAAAAGCTTTATGAGATAGAGTTATAACAAATTGCTAGACATAAAAGAGATAGAATATCTGATCTGCTAATATCTCAATAAGCATCTTGAAAAATATATGACCCTTATCTATTTCAACTTCTCAACAGATAGCAAATATATAAAAATCATATCAAGATGAATTAGCATAGTAAAAAACTAAATTCTAGTTTTTATTAGAAAACAGAAAGCCAATTTTCAAGCACAGATGGCCTAGCAAACAGTTGCTCAAAAGCACAGACACTAGCTTCACAAACTGTCAAACTAGTTAGACAGTCAAGAAGTTCTTCATCATCATTGCAATTAGAAGAAGATCTCCAGAATTATTATATATTTAAATACTTAAATAAAATAGGTTTAATAAGTAAGAATGAATTAGATTCAAATTATTCTATAAAACCTTTTCAAAGACTTTACTCTTAATAAAGTAATATTTCTGCTAAGATTGATAAAATAGAAAATGCAATCAATAAAGATAGAGATACAGTAAACCAATTAACTAATCAATTTAAAAAAATATATATATAAAAATGTAATATTTATGAAGAGATGAGCCATAATAAAAGTAGTTGTCCTAATAAACAGTGTTATCCTATATCTACTTCTTTTAAGATAATAGGTAACTAGAGTGACCTTAGACAGTGAACACTTTTTGTAACTTCACTTGTTACTGTATTATAACTAAGTCAGAAGATATTTTATTTTAGAAAACTTAACAAAGAAGATTTAAGGCAATTTGCAATTATGAAAGAGACTATAATTAAAAATATATGAAGATACTAATAACTGTTTAATTTGGGTAGTATAAACTAGTAGTTTATTAGTAAAAAAGTATGAAGACTTGATATTAAACTTGGAATTCATATCTGCTGCTTTTATACTTTTTGGCTATATAGTAAATGTAACAGTCTATATCTTTTACATGTACAAGGTATTTTATAATTACTATTAATAAAATAAATAAGATATGTTTGATATATAAAATAGATAAAAAAAATAAACTAAATAATATATATAAACTAAATATAATATAAAATATATGTGCTTTAAATCACATAAATGTTAAATGTTTAATATGTATGACATTTCACGCAGTAATTATTCAACCAATCAGATCACAGCTTCCTTATTAATTTGGTTATTAGATTTGATCTTGGGATTCTATAATCAGAAATAGATGATCTATACCTTATTAGAACCATCTTAGTAAGCTGATTCGAATAGTGGTGGTTTCATCGAATTCTGCTTAGTGGTTCAAGAGTTATAATTATTTTTGTAGGTTAACAACAGATAACATAATCTAATTTTAATTAGTCTGCTTATTTAAGCCTTTTATACCAATAAATTTCCAAAACACACCTTCAGATTCAGATAATAAAGATTATAATGAAAATGATTATGATGAAGAAAATAATAGATAGACTAGATATAATATATTAGAAAAAAAAACAAGTATTAGCAAATAAAAAGCTGTCTTCAGAATCCAGCTAGCCTAAAACATATAATAAGCTATTGCCAAAGCTTTTACTAGCAATATATAAAATATATCTATAGTATAGGTATATGTAATACTAGACCATATACCTATATGACTAAGTATAATAGTAAAAATATAAATACAACTCAATTTCTCATAATTATATTATATAAAATAATCACTAAATGATAAAATAGAAACAAAATCAATAAAAAATAATCACACAAATTAATAAAATACAAGAATTTACAAAACTTATAATTTAAAAAGAAATTTTAATTAAAAATATATATTTTAAAGTAAAAAATATGAAGTTTCCTAGTTTTTACGAATTGAACAAAATTTTGCTCAATGAAAAAAAGTGTGTTGAATTTCTTTTTGAAAAGGAAATTGTAAAAAAACCAAGAGAATGTTTACACTGTGAATATAAAATATTATATTTCATTTTAACACGAAAAATTTTTACTTGCATGAATTGTATAAAACAGACAACTTCAGTTTTAAAAAACATTATTTTTTATAAACATAAATTGAAATGTAATGAGATTCTACTTATTCGATATCTTTGGCTGATCAAAGCAAGATATACAACAATCAAAAAATTTACTGGCCATAATTCATCCATAATAATTAGATTTATAAAATTGTTTAGAAACATAATTGCAAAAAGCTTAGTAAAAGAAGATGGGAAAATAGGTAGAAATAATGGCATAATAGAAATAGATGAATCAAAATTCAAAAAAAATAAAGACTGGTAGATTTTAGGATTTGTAGAAAGAACTAAATTAAGAAAATGTTTTTTTAAAATAGTCAAAGATCATAATAAAAACACATTGCAGAGATTAATTAAAACACATATGAAACCAAATTCAACTATTTATAGTGATAGCTGGAGAGCATATAGTGGACTTGAAAAAATAAATATGAGGTTCAAGCATAGAAGAGTGAATCACAAGAAACCAAGTAAAAGTTTAACTTTAAAAAGAATTCATACTAATCATGCTGAAGGAACCTGGTCAGGTATAAAGCAAAATAAGTTAAAAAGAGACATGGCTAAACACAAACTAGAGTTACATTTAAAGAAATTTTCATAGTAAAGAAAGCATAAAAATGATTTATAGTCTGGTTTATTAGAATCAATTAAAAATTATAAAATCTAATAATTAGTAAAAATATATAAATACTTTAAATATATAAATTATTTTATTAAATAAAAATGTCTTGGTCAGAGAAATTCAAAAGCTTTGAACATGTGATAGACTGGATCAAGGTCTCAATGTATTTTCATAAATAGTATAATTTTTATCTTTTTTATTTCAACAAATTTAATTTTTTTAATATTGTTAAAAAAAAATACTAAATGATATATTTTTCTTCTCAATTTTAAAATAAGCAATCTTATTCTTATAATAAACAATTTTTTTATACATTTTATCATTAGTTTGATATTTTACTTTTGAATCAATATCTATATATTCATTATTTTTTAAAAAATAAACAGCATAATAAATGTTATTTTCTTCTTTAATTTTATCGATTCCAACTCTAATTTTTATATTATTTTCATCAAGAAAATAGGCACTGCTTCTGATAGTATTAAAAGAAAATGTTATTTGAAATATCACTATTAATAAAATTATAAATTTTATTTTTTTTTAAAAAAAAACAAACAAAAAACATAAGACAATAAAATATTATTACTTGTTAAAATTGTTTAAAAGCATTGAGAAAGTCTGAACATTTCTGTTTTTTTATTTGTTATTTATAATATAATATTGTAGTACATACAAAATAATCACTCAATTAGGTTATCAACTTAATATTTATTTAATAATTTTAAAATATATAAATGATTTATTAAATAGATAAAATAAATGAATTGTTCTACTTCATTTAAATTCAATATGAAACAAAATATTGAATTTAAATAAAGAAGAACAATACCAAGACACACTCTCAGTGATAGTGATCAATTATTAAAAAAAACTAAACTATTTAATTTTGATTGATTTTATAAATTCTAAGAACTGTTTTTGAACCAGTTCTAAATAATTGTTGAAAAGTTTCTTCTTCATTTCAATCTCAACTTGTGAACTAAGAAGTTGAATATTCATCAAATAAATATTCTGAGTATAATAAATATAACTCCCAAATAAAAATAAAATAATAAAAATAATAAAAATTAAACCAAAAATAATGTTTTTTAATGACTTTAAATAATCTGTTAAAGTCATAATAGATTTTTCCAGAGAATGTATTTTGTTCTTATATTGAGAAAATTCACTTGTCAGTCTTTTTGACAAGTAAGCAGTATCTAAATAAAAATATTTTGTTTAATAATAATACTAAGATTTTTATAAATAATTTATAAATATACCATCAGATGATGCTACAACTTTATCAGGTATAGTCTCAATTTGTTCAACAACTGGATAAAAAGTAGTAGTTATTTTGTTATAATTGTTGTTAAAATAAGTTTGTTGATAAAGAAATTGTAAAATTTGGTTTGAAAATTTGTGTAAAAATATTTACAGTGATTGTGTAAAGAAACAAAAATGTTTAAATATCTGATGTTTGGGATTCATTGTAGGATAGAAGTAAGTTATCATAAATCTCCTGTTGGTTGTTGGGAATCCTGCCAGATGAAGTTTGAAATAGACATGTTTGTAACAAAAAATAATCTGAATAGGTGTTAATTTGTAAGTAAAATATAAACAATCGAAAGGAAATTTAGATTAAAGTTTAAAGATAACAGAAGGAGAATGAGAATCAATTTGGAAATATTAAATTAGCATTTATATATTCCAAATAAGGATAATTATAAAGGCTAAGAAAATTCCTACAGAACAATCGAATTTGGTAATCATTTCTAAAGATAGGTTTATTGAATGAGGATTTATCCAGATTAGTTTATCTGGAAAAATATTTAAACAATGCAAATTTTCTTTTCATCACCAATACAAGTAAAAAATGAAAGCGATATGATGCTATATTACATCTGCATGCAAGTTTTGTCAAGAAAAAAAACTTAAATGCATTGATAAAAGACCTTGTGCTCAATGCATCAAGTAAAATGTTCCTTGTGAGCCATCAAATAAGAAAAAGAAAAGAGATCCAATGCCAATATCAAAAGTAGAATACTTGAAAATCAAAAAAATTTTAAATGAATAAGGACTATTTTGACAATTTATGTTTATAAATTTTTATAATTTTATTTATTGTTTATTATTTAATATATACATATCTAAGTTTTAAATAAACTATTGGTGTTTTAATATACATGCATTCTTTGTTCAAAAGTTCTAAAATTCTTGTATAAAGTTAAAGATTTTTGATGTTTCAGCACAAAATAGGAAAATATGTAAATTTTGACAAACAAAAACATAAACTAAATAAATATTGACTTGTAAAAATTAATTTTAAATTAATATTAGAAGTTAAAACACAAATATCAGAAATTACATTTCTGTTTGATATTGTAATAGAATTTACTTTTTTTTTATATTAGTATATATATTTTTTTATTTTTGTT